GTGTGTGTGTGTATAGTATATATATATATATATATACATATAAACAGTTTTTTTAGAACAAATTATATCTTGAAGGATCAGGAAGGTTTAAAAAGACAAAGCTTAAAATGTCAAAGGAAAAAGAAAAAAGTGGGATCTAACTAATCGAACCTTTAATGCTAGTTGTAGTAATCTGTATGAATTTCAAACTCTAAAATTTTCTTTCTGACCTTTTTTCTCCTAGGTTATATCTATTTTTTCAATGGACACATACAGTTTGAATACAGCATCTGGAGTAAACGCATTGTTCGTGTCATGCCAACAAATTCTTTATTGTGGTGTTAAAGATCTTTTAAAAATTGTCATTTAAAGCCCGGAGAACATTTGGAAAATTACTTCAAGAGGTATTGAGGATGATGGCTATAGGCACATATCAGGGGAAAGCTTAGTTCTGTGAACAAGCTTCAGTAAATTATCTTTGAATATATAGTATCTGTATTGTTATGTGTGGCTGGTACCACACTGAGGAATTTTAAAATAAAAAATTGAGTTTCTCTAAGAATCATTTCATTCCTGCGCTATAACAGCTGGCAATATTTCCTACCTGAAAAAATGAGATGCATGGTTTATCATAAAGAGTTAGGCTACTGATAAAAAGAACTTTGCAAAGGCACAAAAGTAAATCAAATTTACACTGTTAACAAACCATCTTTATTAAAAAATATAATGTAGTGTAAAATGAATTTTTAAAGAACATTTGGTAGCTATAATTAAAACATGGATACAAGGGAAAATATCTGTAATAAATAAATTAGTCCAGAGAAGTAAACAATTTGGGTTTCATAGTAAGGAGATTTGGATGTTCATGCCCTTCTCCAGACAGAAACGTAAAAAAATATCACAGTCCCTAAGGAACGGAGGCCATGACTAATGATGAGGAGAACAGACTTGGCCTTTGGATTCTGTTTATTTTTTTGCATTTGACAATGACTGAAAGGCTGCACTCTAATGAGAAAAAAATCTCTATGTATATTTATAGAAAATAAAGATAGAAGATTTTAATTTTTATTCAAATACTTTGGGTCTTTTAACTTTTAGAAAATAAATAATTAAAACGGTACCAAAATCATCTAAGACCTCATATCACCTTTTTACCAAATCATTTGGTTTTTATTGCCAAAAGAATGACTTTAACTCCATTGTATCTAGACAATTCTTTTCACTGTCTAATTTGCTTTGGATATACAGGTTATTTTTGAAATACATGTGTGCCAAATAATAAAATATATCTCATAGATTGGGAGCATGTGTGTTAAAATCAAGGAGACGGTCTACTAGATTATAATACTCTTGAGTGCCAGCACTTTTCACCGTGACTAACACTTGGTAGGGTGATCAGTAAATACTTATTGAATGTATGAGTGGCTATCAACAGAAAGACTATGGAGATGAGAGATCTTGTTCATAAAAACTCAGGCAAAGAAAAAGAAAGTTTATCATTTTCCAAAATGCTTTAGGAAGTGTTTTTATTGTTTATAATAAAATGATATTTTCAACAGGCGTGGTTATATTTTTTGTCTTGGAGAAAGGGGTGGTTCAATGGTAGAAATTCTTGCCTACCATGTAGAAGACTTGGGTTTAAGTCCCAACCAAAGGCTGTTGTGCACAACCTCCACCCTTCTGTCAGTAGATGCTTGAATGTTGCTAAGATACTGACTAGCAGAGCTTCCGGACTAAGGCAGTCATCATCACAATGGTCTGATCCTGTTGTGCATAGTGGCCCATGAGTTGATGGCCAACTCAATGGCAGCTAGCAACAAAAACATATTTTATCATAAGGTGTAATTTTAAGCTTTCCTTACACAAAGAGGGTCCATTTAAATTATTTGTTTATCTTGCTAATAGTTCTTGGTGAAATGTAGTTCACTCACTATTTTCATTTTTCTAAACAGACTAAATTAAAAATTTGGAATTAATTCTTGTTGGTATTAGGTACTTTTGAGTTGGTGTCAACTCAAAGTGACCCTATGTATAATAGAACAAAACACTGCCCTGTCTGTACCATCCCTATAATCCTTGCTATGTTTAAGCCCATTGCAGCATCCACTGTGTCAGTCCATCTCATTGAGGGTCTTCACTTTTTCACGGACACTTTATTTTACCAAGCTTACTATCTTGCTCTAGGGACTGGTCCCTCCTGATAACATGTCCAAAATATGCAAGATGAAGTCTCACCACCCTAGCTTCTAAGTAGCATTCTGGTTGTATTTCTTCCAAGCCAGATTTCTTTGTTCTTCTGGTAATCCATGCTTAATATTCTTTGCCAATACAATAATTCTTCCTTTTTCATTATGTCAGGTTATGCTAACAAAATTCTGACAGAGTTTGGCCACCTCATGCTACGAAAAAACCTTGTACTTTTCTAGATTGAGCCCAAGTATCCCTCAGAATCTTCCCTGCTGTGAGTATTAATTAGTAATGAGAAGAAAAGAGCAACAGATCTGAAACCAGGATTCTAATCCTTGCTCCGCCATTAACTCTGCCATGGAATCTTGGGCACATCATTTAATCTATTTGGGCATATATTTGATTAATATTAATTCCCTAATATGTAAAATGAGAGGATTGGCAGTTTTGGTGAAGTTGGGGAAATATGGAGGAAGCAGGAAATCCTAATGAGAAAGGGAAGCATTATTTACAAGCATCAGGTTCCTTGAGCACATGATGTTATAACTCCTCTATTTTCTTAATCCTAAACATCTAATAATCCTAAACATTTAATAAATGTCTGCCAATTATCATCCATCATATTATCAGGAGGGAACAGTCCCTGGAGGAGGACATCATGCTTTGTAAAGTGGAAGGTCAGTGAAAAAGAAGAGCCCTAACAAGATGAATTGGCATAGTGGCAGCAGCAGTGGGGTCAAATTTAATAACAGTTGTATGCAAAAGGTCGCTATGAATTGGAACCAACTCATTGGCACCTAGCAACAATAACACAACAAATATTACCCAGATTTTTAACGCAATACAAAAATTCTCTGGTTTAGCACTGTAGGAAAAGCAAGGTCAGCGGTTCAAACCCACCAGTCACTTCTCAGAAACCCTTTACAGTTTGCTATGCATTGGAACTGACTCAGTGGCACTTAATAACCACAAGAAATATCACTCACATAGAGGACGAGTTGAACTAGAGAAATTTGATCCTACCCCCAAAATACTTATCCTATGTTGTTGTTGTTAAATGCCATCTAGTCGGTTCCAACTCATAGTGACTCTGTATTGGGTTTCCGAGGAGTGACTGGTGAATTTGAACTGCTGACTTGCAGTTCAAACCGACCTTGTAGTCTAGTGCTTACCCTAAGTGCCACCCCAGAACTCCTATCCTATTATGGAGACAATTAAAACTGTAGACATTAAAACACAGTGAATTAAGTGCTTTGCTGAAAAATAGTGAACCCTTGCTCAGTAGCTCTAGAACACAAGTTTCCTTTGACTCATGGATCTCCAAGAGTTAAAATCAACTTAATGGCAACTGGTTGATGTACTAGGCAAATGCATTATATTTAAGCTCTGTGGGAGCTTGTCATGCCTCTTCATGGAAAAACGAGAGTAAAAAGTTTGAAAACCCCTTAAAATGAACCAACGGTTTAAATGTATTTGAAACAAGAGAAACTGACGAGATCCTATACTGATATAATAAATTATGCCCTGAAATTATCCTGGGACAATTTTTGTATTGCATTAAAAATAGTGTCCTAGATCTCCACATCCTCACGTCAATCAAAATATCAAGATATATACAGCAGAGCCTGTAGAAAGATAGCCACTATATCTAGCTACGTTAAGTCCTGGTTTTATGAAGTCATGATATGGCGCTGTAGGGTAAGTCATTGGACTGTGTGGTCAGTTTGAACTGTAAGGTAGGAGGATCAAACTCACCAGCTGCTCCTCAGAAAGTCTATACAGGGTTACCCCTAAGTCTGACTATGAGTTAGAACTGACTCGACTTCGAAGACACTTAACAACATGGAAAATGGCTTGATTTTAGATACTACATGAGGCTGTGATATTCACAACAGCCCCACTAGGTGGCGACAGCAATACTCTTTTGAAAACATCTGATTGCATCACAGAACTATATGACTTTGCTCTTTACTGCTGTTGTTAATAGCGATCCTGTATAGATAGGGTTTCCGTGGAGCAGCTGGTGAGCTTGAACCGCCAGTCTAGCAGTTCAAACGGCTTTGCAGTCTAGCGCATTAACCCACAGCGCCACACCAGGACTGTGGTATGGTGATGTGCTGTGGAGTTGGTTCAGACTCATAGAGACCCTGTACAGGGTTTGCGAGGCTGTAAATCTTTACAGGAGCAGAAAGCCTCATCTTTCTTCCGCGGAACAGCTGGTAGTTTGGAATTGCTGACCTTGAGGCTCGTAGCCTGATTCGTTAAGGATCAGGAAATTGGCCAGATCACTGATTGTTTAGTTCCTGACTATATGACATCGACTTTTTCTTTTTACTTTTTATTGTGAATTGAGTAAAGGTTTACAGACAAGATCATCAGTTCTACCTTCAACAAATCATGTACTTTGGTTTCGTCTCAATGATTACAAGTCCCTCCATGCAACAATAGTTATTCCACTTCCTCTGTGTGGTTTCTATTTCCATTCCACCCTCCTTCCCATACTGTCTCAACTTTGTTCTTAGGTTAAAAAATGCCCTATTAATTTTGAGTGATTTGGCCAATTGACCATACCATGGTGAGCACACCTAATGTTGTTGTCCCCCCGTATTCCCCTATCTCCTGCTTAACTGAAAATTGATCCATGAGCGTGAGTTCCTTTCCAGACCTGAAGGGTGGTCGAGGGTCATAGTCTCAGGTTTCTCCAGTCTCTATGATCAGATAACCCGGTCTTTTTTAAATCTTTATTTTGAGTTTTCTTCTACATTTTCTGCCATTCTATTTGGAACCTTTCAGGGCATTTGGCACCATCCAGTTCTCATCTCAGAGTCATGGAGACAGATGTTCACATGTTCCATTAATTCATTGAACTAATTGATTCTAAGCCTCTTCAATAGCTGATCCTTAGACAGTGGCTCATGAGCTTTTAAGATCCCATACACTACCCACAAAAATATGATATTGAACATTGTCTTTGTGGACTATATTATGCCAATTGACCATGGCATCCACTTAGATTATGGTCCTGAACCCCCAAGCCCAGCAACTCATTGTCTTGAGATGTTCTATAACATCAAAGAAACTTTCATCATTTTGTCTGCTGTATGCTCCACCACCGTTGAACATAACAACAACAAAAACTTTCATAGCTGTGTTTTCAGGAAAGGTGTACAAATATCCTTTTCAAACTCATATATTTGTGGGATATATAAATATGTATATATCTCACTCATCGTCTCATACCCACTCAGCCTGTAAGTATGTCCATGTATCTATCCACAGAACATTGCTATTCTGAGATTGTGTATATATCACTACCTCTTTAACCTTTTATTTCCTTTA